CCCCTCTACGGATCCCCCTTCTACCATTACCATACACACCCCGAGCCTTGCGCTTATTCTCCGTCCTATCGGCGGAACCTGCTGGCCCCCTGCCGGCTAGCTCTTCAAAATACAATATAATTATAAAATCATATTATGAACGATGAGAGAATCACATAATGACAAAGATTAAAAGTAATCAGAAATAAACATTCACAAGATTACAAAACTTGAGAAAACAGCTAGTAAAACGTTTTACGTTTAAATAATTAAAAAAACATATACATTTAGACGAGACAACCTGTTATTTCCATCCAGTAGTTTAATTGTAGGCTTATTTAAAGGTAGGCTTAAATGTATCGATTTAGCACAAAGCTAAAAAGCCAAGCGTAGCTCCGTCCTAGTTTGGAGTTTCCCGGTAGCCGAGGTTTCTTCGTGAATGGCATGGATTTGAGATGAGATCTCAGATGGAAATGACATGATGTTCAGGCGTAAGCTGTTGGTGAATATGCTGTCGGCTACCTAAATAAAAAATGGAAAAAAACCCGGCAAAATGCGATGGCTGGTCTAATGCGAGTCCACGTAGCACAAGCATTGGAGAGAGATGAAACAGTTGTTTTTTGGTAGCTCTCACTAATGTTCACGCAACCAATCAGCAACTGCGTCACCTTACGAGCAACGAGGGGTGTGAAAAATATTTAGCGAATTAATTCAATAAAAATGATATTTTATCATTTGGATTTAATACATAATTATTAGCTCATAAAAATGTATACAGTATAATAACACAGAGTAACTTCAGGATTTTGTCTTTCTTTCACTTGAGATTATCTTTTTAATACGAATAAATCGCCTTTCGCATTGAAACGCTGAAGTTAAAATCGGTGAACTACGACTCCCAGGAGTCTCGTGAACTTATTGACGGCTGCTGTGATTGGCTGTCCGGTGCCGTTATTTTGTCGTGAAACCTGACGCTATTTGCAAGCACCCGCGTAACTAAGGAAGCCAAAGACCAAAAGAAGGCAGGTAAAAAGTTATCTTTAAGTTGTATGATACTTAAAGTATGTTAGCGTGTGTTACTTAGCTACAAAACTATATATAATTCCAACCATTCACACAATGCGGGATATATAATTGATCGTCAGTCTGCTGCTGGTATTATGTTTACCGCCGCGGTCCTGTCTGCTGAATGGAGTCCCTGTGCAGGACTGTGCTGTGTCTGACTTAGCACCACCAACCTAGCTGTTATTACTTAATTTCACTTCCATATGGGCACGAACGCTAATGATATCTTGCACAAAATGCTACATTAATGAACTAGCTAGTATTAGTGCGAACATGGCGAGTATATATATATATATATAGGTTAACATGCATACAATCCAGAATACACATACGAATACTGAAAATGGGTAAAATAAAAATGGCATCACGACGTTATAGGAATGCAGATATTTTTAAAATAAATTAATTGCCACGCAGCATAACCGGACGGAACCCAGACAACAGGAGGGTCCTGTGCTGCATGGGCGCATTTTTGTTTTCTTATTTTATGGAATCCCCTTCGCTCTCTCCTGATGGATCCCACAGCACAGATGTGGAAGTTACCCCAGGTGTAAATTTTGTTCAAGAGGGAGGATGCCTGGCACGGTGTTGGGCGTAGGTCCGGGCGTGTTTCTACTGGGTCTCATCTGGATCGCCACTCTGCTACTCGCCGTACTGCTGTCTAGGGCTTCAAGATCGGCCAAGTAAGTCCCCCCCTTTTAAATTAAATTATATAAGGATGTGGATAATAAGATTTTGTTTAGCTGCGCAACGTAGTATAACAGAAGCAACAAATTTAAATTGTTTGATTGATAAGTTAATTAATAACCCCTCTATATTTGGTGGGATATCTCCTACCTCTAATGTATTACTTGCCCCAATGCGCCGTATTTTTCTTTTACCCAGACGCAACAGAGTAGGTTCACTGGGCAAGTTCTCCTTACATTAAAATAGATCATGCGCTACGTCTGCTATAATACATATATGCCTCCTTCTATCTCTGGTTATCTGCATTTTTGCTGGGGAAAAACATTCGCACATCTATGCGAAAAAAGGAGGGAGGAAGTGAGAGAAAGAGTGCAAAATAAGAATAGCCAGAAATGAGACGCAGAGACGAGTTGTGTTTCGTACGAAATTTGTCACTGAATCCCGGGGGAAATGTGTCTTGGCTGGTTTGTTTCTGCTGTAGATGCCAGTTGATGTGGCTGGCAAACCAGCAGGACAAAACCAGTTTTCTCGTTTGAACTGAATTTGATTTTTTGAAGTAGGCTACTTATACCTCGACACTTTTCATCAGTTTTGCTGTTCGCTTAAATCAGGTATTCAGTTTTCTTGTTGGTGTACTTTCCTGAAAATGTAAACCTTGAAAACAAAGAAAGGCGTACACGGATTTCGAAAAATTTCATTAGTATATATCCAGACTTGCCACTTGTTTTATTATACATATTCTGAAATAAAATGACGGATGAATGACCCATTTGCAGATTCTCCATCATCCCGCTGCTCTTACTGGCGATCGTGATCACGCTGGTGCTGCTGTTCTTCCCACGGAGCTCAGAGATTCCCACCCCGGTCAGGGAGGTGGAGGTACGTGTGGCACAAGCACAACCATCATCGAGAAAATTCAGGCGGTAGATATCGGTCATTTAACATGGAACAATAATGTAACCGTACAGGGGATTATACAGTAGTCTTATAGCCCTGCTCTACTTAATAACATAAAGGAATTCCAGACTATGAGACTGACTGGGTTTCGAGCCTCTCAAGTCACAGCTAAATGGATAAATTCACATTTTTTAAACTATGGTTTATGTTATAGCTGCATTAGAAGTAATCTAAATGGCAAGAATTCTCCAAAGCACTTTGACTGTTTGGTTACTAAGGACTCTTCTGCCTTTCCTTGCATTATAAGCCCTTTAGTTATTTTTACGGGGAAACACTCATAACTCAGAACCCACTAAGCCTATATTAGCTTTGCTTAAAAAAACAAAAAGCCGGCCTGGACTGTGTCTTCTTGACAGCCGTGCACAGTGCGAGTGCAGGGAATGCTCTCAGCCAGGGTTACTGACCACTAATGCTAAACAGTAGTTGTAGTGAAAATAACCTGTGTACACATTGTTTTAATAAATTACTTATTGTTATTTTCTGTATATTCCACACTTAATAGGCACTTGCAAGGATTTCATCTGCATCTACCACATGTTTGTGGAAACATTTAGTTTGATTAGACTAAATAATGTTCTTTCTGTATTTGGTGATTGCTTCTCTATATCAAACTTATGCTGAGCGTTATTAAAGAACAAAAACATTTTCCATAGTGAATTAATTCCTCTGGATTTTGCTAAAATCTAATTTGTATTACCTTTAAGGTAATAAAATCACTAAGGAGATTCATCTCCAGTTTCTGTGTGTTATTGTGTTGGAAGTTTCAGAATAATAATTTTTTTCTGTGTAACATGTTCCGTAACAGTGTATCCTTATATATTTTTAAACAATGTACCATTATTCCAAAGCTGAGGTTTTCAATGCAGTTTCAGCCAAACAGAGTAACATGTTAAGACACCATTTATATTCAGTTCTTCTTTCACACTTTTCTGTTGTTTACCGACCACACATGGCGTGTGGTCACACTAAGGCCGCAGGTACTTTTATTCACATGAATTAGGAGATGCCCGCAGCGACCCGGTCTACGGAAACATCCCTTAACAAGTGGCCGCTCTAGTGTAAGCAGTGGCTAACCTCTCTCTGTTAAACAAAAGCAAAATATCACAGTGCCAATTAGGCCACCCCCAGACAGGGCCCCCTGAACACAGCGCTCGATGCTGCATTAATAAAACATGGCTCCGGCTCTGTGCTCCACTGGCTGGCTAATTGGCTAATTAAAAAGTGAGATGCGTTAAACGAGAGAATATTGCATCCGCTAGAGATGTCCCCCCTCCCTGCTCCGTCTTTAGTCGGCGGTAGATTTTTGCATTCTCGTGTGGCTCGACATTCGCGCGTCGGCCCCCCTCCTCCGGGAGCCAGCCTGTGGTTAGCATTGTCTCTTCCTCCCCGTGATGCTTCCCTCTAACAGAAAAACAGCAACTGTCCAAGTTTAACCTCCGCTCGCTGTATGCATATAAACCACCTCCTGTGTGGAAACCAACCCCCCACCGTTTCCATGGTGGAGGAATTGTCGCCCACTGCTGGCTGCTGGTGGATTTACAGTAAAATACTAAATACATTTAATGTAACACAATCTGAGAAATCTCGAGCCACACGAGAATGTGCTTTTCATTACAAAACACCCTATTTATAACAATGTGTATTTAGGGTCATCACTCATATCCAGCTAGGTATATGTAAAGCCTGGTTTTCCCTGTTAGCTAATCTCTACATTGCAATTGAACGTTACATGTAAACGCTGCAAGCCAACTTCATGATCGCATTTTTGAAGATATTCTGCTGGCCTAAATTGCAGAGACTGGTCAGCATTTATGGAGGAATGAGGCTGCAACTATGACCCAGACTCCTTTGAGAAACATTCATCCCCTAACATTTCATAGGCCTTTCCTTTGTACATGGGGAACATTCAGCTGAAGCTGAAGAGAGAGTATTTATGTTGGTTATCGCTGTTACAAAAGGCTGTTTTTAGGTTTTTCTGACACCTGGTGGTTTAAAATTGTAAATTGCTTTTGTTATATTTAAATCAGTTTGTTATCCCAAACTCTGGTCTTCGTATCCTGCTCCTTCTACTGTCCATGTCATTGTCGGCTGTGTATCTGTGTGTGTCTTGTCGCAGACGGTGGACGGCTTCTTCATCGGCCGCTACGTGCTGCTCTCCGTGGCGGGGGCGGCTTTTCTGGCCGCCCTCTTCCTGCTGCTGCCCCTCCACTTCCTCACGCCTGTGCACGCCAAGCCCCTCCAGGTGCATTAGTGTCCAGATACGGATCGCACGGCCGGGCTGTTGTTAAAGCCTAATATCAGTGTCTTTATTTTTTTTTTCTTCAATGAATGAATAAAGCGCTTCTCTCATGCTATGTGAAAGATTCCAGGATAATAATCTCACTACAGCATAACAAGAAGAAAGCAAACTGTCTTCTCGTTAATTATTTTGATATAATTATTTTTCACTCTGGTGATCTGTTAAACCTTATTTATTTTTTACACTCCTTCTGACAGCATATTCGCATTGAGTAAAAATGTCAGTTCTCCAGCAAAATCCTATTTCCTTTCTGTGGTTTGTTGGTTGTACTGTATTATATAGATCTATTGCTACAACAAAAAATGTAGGATGTGTAATTTCCTTGAATTTTAATGCATGTCTTTAGCTGAGCATTTTGCAGAAAGTATCCTCAGAGACTTTTCTCTGTAGTTCTCTGTCATTTATACGTTATGTTCATTTCTGTATATTAGTTTATTTTTGCGGTGTGACTACCTTTATAGTTTATAGTAATATTTTTGTTCTGTTTACATATAATTTCCAAAGCTTTCAATAAACATAGTTTTATTTTTATACTCAAACTCAACTTATCACCTCAATACCAATCTTTTGCTGGTTTCACTCTGATCATTTCAGTCTTTACTTTACTGTCATTGATTTTCTTCAGCATATTGCCAGAGAAGCAGGTATTAGAGAGTAAAACGCGTATGTAATGCGTGCATATTTTTCATAGGTATTTAGCTTTTCTAATTCCTCTTCAAGCGCTTTTGGGGGAATCCGGTTTTTGTGCTCTTAATATAATGCGCCGTTAACTTTTTGGGGGCTCCTTTAATGTCTGGATAATGTTGGCTCTAATGAGGATCACCCATCCTTGGAGATTATATGACGTGACAGTCCGCTTGGGGGGGAAGAAGCTTTTTTTACTACAAGGATACTGTAGTACATGGCTTATGCGTAGTGAAACCGTCATATTACATGTGCTTCTAATCATATTGACGTGTCAATTCTAGACTGAAATACTATGAGAAATGCTAGGCGTGACTGAAATGGAGAAAATTGAAGAATTCAGGATGTTTTACAAACTTCCAGTGTTTTCAGAGTTTCATTGGCTTTCAAAGTGTTTCCAGCTTCCAATGACATGAACTAAACCTTTTCTATACTCACCATTATACTGGAGTTTTAAAAGAATTGCTAGTACAGTCTGTGTAGTTATTCTCAGCTGAAGCTATTCCCAGTGTTTCAAAAAAAATCTATAGGCTAAAATGATATAGTTCAGTATGACTGGAACTTGTTTTTGTTTTGAGTCTTACGAAGTGTCCCGATCAGACTTGTTTAACGAACAAACAAAGCAGAAATCAAATTAAAGCGAAACTTAAGATGCTAGATGCCTTTAAGTATTTACCTGTATAAATAAATTGTTATTCATGTTCTGCATAATGCAGGACAGCGTATTGGGTAAGATTGGGCAGGATCCCAGTGGATTTGGGCCTTTATGGCTGTGGGATATCAGAGGGCTTAGAAGTGGAGGAGACATGGCCCATTGCTATGAACCTGACTGGCTGTCATTAACATGCGGTGGGAAAGTCCCCCCGTTTCGTGCTCCGACGGGAATCATGCAAACTGCAAAGGGGACTTTTAAGCATATATACAGTATCCTTTGTTATGCCAGCGCCTGGTTTCACTTGTGCAAAAATACAGGAGCAAAGAGAACACAGAGGTCTCTCACCCATTATTTGACTCCCTTAATGCTGTTTGGGGTACTGGGACTGGGGGGGGGAGGCGGAGGGGGAAGTGATGTTAAGGATTAGGGCTTCAGAAGCGGGCAGCTCGATTACATGGGCATATCCACCCCCACCCCCCCATTTTCCCTCTTTCCCTGGAACCCCCCCAGTTAAGACACGGGAGACGGGAGAGACGTGCGATGAAATTCCAACCAAGACAGAGAAAGAGAAACGAATGAATCAGATCCAATCCTATTAGTTCCGGCCCACGTCTCTCCACAGAGCCCATTCTCCATGGCGGGCGACTCGGTGGGTTAGCGAGGCTGAGAAACAGGGCTCTGCATGCATGTGTATCTAAATATAAACATTCATTAATTATTTGAGATTCATCAGCTGCAGTGACAAGGAATTACAGCAACCATCGACTAAGGGAAGGTTTTAATGTTACCGTTATCAGCCCCAAAGAAGTAGTTTAGCATGAATATTTTAGCTCTCATATTTTGCTTCACTGCTCATCATTTTTATGTTTTAAGTCACCAATGCATCAAGGCTGTGATCTTTCAATCACATTTCTTCTTTTAGTTAATTAGGTGGTTAGTATATGAGCTTCCGTGGGAACGGTATCCGCAGCAACAGTTGTCACATAGATGGTGTCCTGCAACCGCACACCGTTCTTCGTCTCCAGAGCTTCCCGGTCAAGGCATCCATCTGACCTAAGTGGCCAAAGGCAAGGTATCCCAGCCTGATCCTACCTGCACCTTTCAGGGTGGGGGGGTTGCATTTTAAAGATGTTGTCAACCCCCCCCCCCCACCACTACCACCACCACCACCACCGTCCCTCCCTACTCCCCCATAACGTTCCTGCTTAATGCTAGTTTCCAATTCCTCTCTGGGGAGTGGGAAAATCGGTGGAACAAAGCGTCAGAGGGATGGGCTGGTGTGGGTTGGGGTGGGGGGGGCACTGGGGGCGGGGGCTGGGGTGGTCATTTGGAATCCAGAACGGGATTCTTTTTGGGGCAGCCAGCTGGATGTACAAAGAGCTTGCGGCGGAGGTGGGGGGGGGTGTTGTGGCACCGTGAGACAGGGAGAGGTGTGGGGGGGGGAGAGGTGTACACACAACACAGGATGTGGGGCGTTGGCGGCGAATTTCAAGGCCGGGGAGGAGGAATGGGGTAGACCGTGTCCCTTAGATGGCTGGATGTACTATTGAGGCCCACTCAAGCAGAAAACGCCCCCCCCAACCACCACAAATTTCTTCAGCTGCTCCTTTTTCCCAGCGGATGATGCAGTCAACGCCGCTACTATGGCCTGTCACGCCTCGGCCTGCCCGCCTATCTTTCCACAGTCTCGCTACGCTGACCCTATGCTCCGCTGTTCCTCTGAGGGAGAATCGGAGCTCCTCCGGGCTGGTGGACGCAGCCAAACCCGGGCTCCATGCGGCGGCAGTTAGCTGCCATCTCCGTCCCTGAGGCGGAAAAACTAATTCGTGTCGTTTTCATTTTTTCCGGAAATGTCTTGCTTCTGCTGAGCTGCTTGGAGGAGAGAGAGAAGGACTTACCTTTATATTCGAATAATGTGATCGCGGTTTACCTTGACTAATCTCAGAGACTTCCTACACCTCTAAGGGGTCTAAGAAAAGCTGCCCCAGTGGATGCCTGAATGTTTTGCAATAGCTGGGAAAAAATTTTCTTGCACTGAATGTGGTGTGGGGGTTGCCAAGGTGATGGCTGATGCATCTGCGGGGGGGTGGGGGGTGGGGTAGTGTGGATTTTCTCACTGCAGCCCTGTCCCGCTCCATTACCCCTTTTGTGTGGGGCCAGGGGGTGCCGTCAGGGTTTTAGACACCCTGGCGTAAAAATCCCAGCCGGGCCGCACCTTAGCCACCACCCCTGTCCCAGGAGGGGACTGCAAGACGGCCAGTCTTCCTGTGCAGAAGATTAAGGCCCAATTTAGAGGTCAGTGTGGACCCCAATAGCCCCTCGTTGCTCAACCGGACACCCCATCGAGGAGAGAAGCATGACTTTGCACCTCCGTTCCCTGGCTTCACAGCATGTCAGCCCGATCATCATCCTCCCCACAGGGAGGAGGGAAGGGGGGGGACGGCTCTGGGTGTGAAGGCAGTGCAGGAATCCCCCCCACGTGTGTCGCAGGCGTGCAGCTGTATCGCTTACATCCCCCGCTACACACTGCCAACACCTGTTAGCACGTCATGCTGCTAATTGGTGCTAATATACACCCCCTCCTCCCATTCCATGACACTCAATGAATACTGCTGCACTGCAGCCAGTGCCAGGCTAATGCTGCGTTCCATTTACCTCGGAAGTCGGGAATGATGTCACACCCGAGTTAACCACATTCCAATAGAACAACTCAGAAAGCCATTTAGTAATACCAGGGACCTGTTGCAAACAGCAGGATTTCTTTCTTAGCTGGATAACTTCTCAGATTTAAGGTACCACAGTTGAAATGGCCTTTATCTTCATTCACTTACATTTAGCCCAGACTACCTTAAACATGGTATTTTGCGCATACTAACACCGTAGCAACACGTCCACGGATAGCAGTTGGACAGTACTCTGTGTACAACGATTTAATGAGCCATAAATAAGAAGTAAGTGTTAATAAAGAGTATATCAACTACAGCTTTCACTTCTGGTGATGAAGGGTGCAGCCATCTTGAATTCTGAGGTCAGTGTTGTTGACGTTCCTCCGGTGTCTGGTTGAAATTTCCAGCTAGGAACTGCAGAGTTACAGTAGAATAGAATGTACCATAAATCCAGGGGCCTCCTGCCTGCTTCAGCTCCAGAAGGACATGGGCTGCCTGATTCCGACATTTCCACATTGAACTCTTCCGTGTCTCTGGTACAGAGGTTTCTATCTGTAAATGGGAATATGCTGGAACTTTGGACTGTATTTGGTGACACATTTGATGACACAATCTCACAGGAATCACAGAGGTGCTTCAACAAACACAGCGATGGTCTATATAAGCAAACAGGAAGTCTTCAGCTTGAACACAGCATCCTCTGAAAGACCGTCCCTCCAGGAAACAGCTTACACAACAGGCTGGTGTGCGATTGTCCAAAACTCTTGACTAAGTTTATTATGAGCCTGGCAAACAATGCTCTTTTGTGAAGGTCTAATCTGGTCTGAGGTGCAGTCACACGAGAGCACGCGTGTCCCCGCCAGTCAGCCCTTCGGGGCTCGAGGCTGAAGCTGGCTTTCAGACTCTGTCTGAAAATGACTCAGATGCATATGAAAAAGGTAATCTCTTATTGTCTGCTGAAATGGACCTCCGCTGGAAATGTGATGAAAACGATTTAGGTCCAGATCTCCTAAAGCCTTCACAAAGCATATGCATGTGCAGGCCCTGATCTAGTACCTAAGGCACTTTCTGGATGTTTCTTGTGTGTTGTGCATGTAATATGCATACAGAGTCACACCAAAAAAAGGGGGGATGGCTCAGCAAGTTAGGACTCTGTCTCTGATTGGAAGGTCACTGGTTCAAAGCCAAGGGCCAACAGCCTGATGTAGTCCTTTTACCTTTAAGAAAGGCCCCTAACACCGTGGCCTGATACTTGCTCTCATATGCAAACTGTCTGTGTGTCTCTAAGAGTAAGATGGCATCAGCAAAACAAGAATTTCCCCACAGGCATGAATAAAGTGTCTCCATTATATCTGAAGCTTCCTGTGAATGTGGAGCTGCTCTCTGGCTTCCATAGCAAAAGCATAAACACAGAGGCAGCCTGCAGATTCACTGCACATCCACAGGACTACAGCCAGAATAACTCAATAATAACGGCAACCATGAGAGGAGCAACCGTCTGAAGGTGGATAAGAGATTCAAAATGAATAGCAATAAAAA